GGGGGAAAAGTTACGGCTTGAAAAGTTCGAATGGTCACTTTCGACCAGTTAATGCCTAGCGGACAACAACTAGACAAAAATTTTTAGCAAAATTCAGTGTTTATTTAAATGAAAAGTTAAATGATTAAATATAAAAAGACTGCTCGTATCAGGGCGAAGCCCTGAATGTTCCGACTGCCTTTTAAGGTTTTATGGAGCAGTAATAACATTAAAAAATTAAATGTATTAAAATAAAATGAAAATTTTTTTTTTCTAAAGTTTGAAATTTTTTATGAAAGTCATCCCCCCACACGCCATATAAAATAGAAAAAGATAAATTTCGCTCCTTGTACCGAATCAATTATGACAAATAAGCTTCTTTCAACCAATTTGGAACGATTTTAAGATGGATTAACTATCCGCTTACGCGTTAATAGCGCGAAGTATATCGCGCGTTAATTGTCCCAAAATGGCCAAAGTGGCAATCTTTAAACCCCCATAACTTTACGAAAAATGATCACAGGTGAAATATCTTTTCAAATTTGAGCTCAGGGCAACAATAACTTTTGAATGATAAAAAAAATTCTGTCAAAAATGGCTTGTTAAAAAGTCGAAATTTGTCTGAAGAAAAAAAAACCCACCCGAGCACAAATATTCCGTTACTTTCGTATCGAAAGTCGGAACAATAATTTCAAGTAAAATTTATGATGAAAGTGGAACCAGATCTAAACTAGAGTTTATTATTGGATATTATTCTGATATTTTATCCTTATAAAATATTAAACACTAACAAGTTAGAACAAAAACTGACCATTTATTATAAATGTTTTCTCTTTTTCTCTAGTCTTCACAGGCACGATCATCACTCATCTACGAAAAAGAAAAACGAAACAAAAAACAGAAAACTTTTTCTAGAATCATAAATTTATATTAACCAATTACAATAAATAATGAAGCAGTAAAATTTACCCCTAAAACAGCATTAAATTGATATATAAACTCTTTTCCCATATGCAGTAAATATTCTTAAAATGAAAAGAAAATGATAATTTCAACCCCCCAAATAAAGCCGTAAAATTAATCATTTCAAATTAGTAAATTAGTAAAAGTTGCCTATAAAATTAAAGCAGTACTAACCTTTTCAAAGACGCTTCTTTACAGTTTAAAATTTTCACTCGCCCACAATCCTATCCACAATCGCACAGCTCGCCCGAGAAGAATTGTTTAAAATTATGGTTGGAAATGAATTTGACAACCCAATCACACTCTAACTACGGAATGGCAAAACACACCCGATATGCTGCCTACAGTCACTACACTCAAAGGATTTAAAGTACGACTTGGCATCGCAACAAAGGAGACCCATTGAAACAGAACAATGGCCATCTCCATGTTCAAGTATACGTACAGATCCAAGTCACCAGGCACTTCAACCAAAGTCAAACTACATGCCACAACCGAACGAGATTGGAGCATTGCTATTCAAAAATAAACGAAATCAACACTCATCACAACCGATCAGAAATCGAAACGATCGTGATAACAATCCTTCTTCCTAATTGGAAGAAAAAATATGCTCGCTACTTTTAAAGAAAGACACCATCAACCATCCTCCACTACAGTAGAACACTGAAGAACCAAAACTCTGTAAACCCCGGATGGGTGGAACCAGATCTAAACTAGAATTTATTATTGGATTTTATTCTGATATTTTATCTCTAAAAAATATTGAATACTAACCAATCATACTCCATCAAACTAACAACATACTTATTTGTAAATGCTGAAACTACTTGTAGTTTCAGCACCACAGCAATTTGAATTAAACTTAGAATACAGTTGTTCTCATTCTGTAAACCAACTTGCATAAACCGGTGTACACTAGATCTATTGAGACTAGGAGATATAAGAGTAAGATTAAGATTGGTGTGAGACTAAGAAGTTGCACGAATCTATCCGGCCGAAATTAAGATAGCGTGACGAGCAAACGGTGTACTTTATCAGAAATTACTCTATGAGGTTACCAAGTGAACAATTAAACTCAAAAGGACCACACAAAAACTCATAAACTCTCGTTGAATTTTCAAAGAGAAACATTAAGTTTTTTCAAGAAGGACAAAAAATTTGACGCAGAAAAATTGGTAATATCAATTCAATTGCAAATAAAAAGTTTGAAATTTTTTTATAAAAATCATCCCCCCACACGCCATATAAAATAGAAAAAGATAGATTTCGCTCCTTGTAACAAATCAATTATGGCAAATCAGCTTTTTTCAAGCAATTTGGAACGATTTTAAGATGGATAAACTCTCCGCTTACGCGTTAATAGCGCGAAGTATATCGCGCGTTAATTGTCCCAAATTGGCCAAAGTGGCAATCTTTAAACCCCCATAACTTTACGAAAAATGATCACAGGTGAAATATCTTTTCAAATTTGAGCTCAGGGCAACAATAGCTTTTGAATGATAAAAAAAATTCTGTCAAAAATGGCTTGTTAAAAAATCGAAATTTGTCTGAAGAAAAAAAAACCCACCCGAGCACAAATATTCCGTTACTTTCGTATCGAAAGTCGGAACAATAATTTCAAGTGAAATTTATGATGAAAGTGGAACCAGATCTAAACTAGAGTTTATTATTCGATATTATTCTGATATTTTATCCTTATAAAATATTAAATACTCACAAATTAGAACAAAAACTGACCATTTATTATAAATGTTTTCTCTTTTTCTCTAGTCTTCACAGGCACAATCATCAATCATCTACAAAAAAGAAAAACGAAACAAAAAACAGAAAACTTATTTCTAGAATCATAAATTTATATTAACCAATTACAAAAAATGAAGCAGTAAAATTTACCCTTTAAAACAGCAATAAATTGATATATAATCTCTTTTCCAATATGCAGTAAATATTCTTAAAATGAAAAGAAAATGATAATTTCAACCCCCAAATAAAGCCGTAAAATTAATCATTTCAAATTAGTAAATTAGTAAAAGTTGCCTACAAAATTAAAGCAGTACTAACCTTTTCAAAGACGCTTCTTTACAGTTTAAAATTTTCACTCGCCCACAACCCTATCCACAATCGCACAGCTCGCCCGAGAAGAACTGTTTAAAATTATGGTTGGAAAGGAATTATATAATAATCCAAACTAACCAACGCAGCCTACTAAACACCACAAACCACAACCTAACAGCATGACTAAGAAAAGAAAACCAACGGTACCCAAACCGGATTAAAACCAGCTTAGAACTGGATAAATTGTTTTTTTGAAGACTGAACACAAAAAGGACCCTCCAAAAAAGAGCAGGAATTTATACTCCACTCCTGGCCTAACCCACCGTGCTACATCCACGCTTTGTGACCCACACTCTATTTTTGACGAGAGTTACTCATGGGTGAGTAGCTCTTAAAAAAAACCCAACTAAACGAGAACGCTTTTGCGATAAAAATTCATAACAAGATCATAACTAAAAACAAAATTAACAAAGATTTGTATTTGTAAATAATACAATGCAATATATAGACTACATACAGCGCACAGACGGGCAGCAAGGAACTTGACAACCCAAACACACTCTAACTACGGAATGGCAAAACACACCCGATATGCTGCCTACAGTCACTACACTCAAAGGATTTAAAGTACGACTTGGCATCGCAACAAAGGAGACAATTGAAACAGAACAATGGCCATCTCCATGTTCAAGTATACGTACAGATCCAAGTCACCAGGCACTTCATCCAAAGTCAAACTACATGCCACAACCGAACGAGATTGGAGCATTGCTATTCAATGATAAACCAAATCAACACTCATCACAACCGATCAGATATCGAAACGATCGTGATAACAATCCTTCTTCCTAGTCGGATGAAAAAATATGCTCGCTACTTTTAAAGAAAGACACCGTCATCCATCCTCCACTACAGTAGAACACTGAAGAACTAAAACTCTGTAAACCCCGGATGGGTGGAACCAGATCTAAACTACAATTTATTATTGGATATTATTCTGATATTTTATCTCTAAAAAATATTGAATACAAACCAATCATATTCCATCAAACTAACAACATACTTATTTGTAAGTGCTGAAACTACTTGTAGTTTCAGCACCAGAGCAATTTGAATTAAACTTAGAATACAGTTGTTCTCATTCTGGAAACTAACTTGCATAAACCGGTGTACACTAGATCTATTGAGACTAGGAGATATAAGAGTAAGATTTAGATTGGCGTGAGACTAAGAAGTTGCACGAATCTATCCGACCGAAATTAAGATAGCGTGACGAGCAGACGGTGTACCTTATCAGAAATTACTCTATGAGTTTACCAAGTAAACAATTAAACTCAAAAGGACCACACAAAAACTCATAAAGTCTCGTTGAATTTTCAAAGAGAAACATTAAGTTTTTTCAAGAAGGACAAAAAGTTTGACGCAGAAAAATTGGTAATATCAATTCAATTGCAAATAAAAACAACGCTCGTTATTGGTTTAAGTGATTGAGCCGGTTCCGTTCGTGATTTGCGCCATTTTTTAAATTTTTTTTTGAAAATCCGCCCCCCTCCCCGAAAAATTCTTAGATCTGCGCCTGGTATAATAGAGTTTGCAACTTTAAAAGGATAGAATCTCTAAATCTGCTAATTACGAGGAAAATTATTGGTTTAAGTGATTGAGCCGGTTCCGTTCGTGATTTGCGCCATTTTTTAAATTTTTTTTTTGAAAATCCGCCCCCCTCCCCGAAAAATTCTTAGATCTGCGCATGGTATAATAGAGTTTGCAACTTTAAAAGGATAGAATCTCTAAATCTGCTAATTTCGAGGAAAATTATTGGTTTAAGTGATTGAGCCGGTTCCGTTCGTGATTTGCGCCATTTTTTTAATTTTTTTTTTGAAAATCCGCCCCCCTCCCCAAAAAATTCTTAGATCTGCGCCTGGTATAATAGAGTTTGCAACTTTAAAAGGATATAATCTCTAAATCTGCTAATTACGAGGAAAATTAAAAAAAAAACTAAATACAAATAAAAACATAGTCTGATTATTTATTCATATCTGCATTGATTACTGATAACAGTTAGAAATACTAGATTCCATGCATTTTAGTAAATCCAATACAATCAAAGTTCCCATAACCAGGCCACACTTGATCTTGGATCTTTTTTATTGAGTCCTTTTCATCAGTCCCACAAAGTCGAAGTAAGAAATGCGATTTTTGTTTCTAATTCATTCTAATCTTCACTATTTGCTTCATCGGTTTTGTTTGAATTCTTCTCTGAGTCATGGTCGCCGTTACCATTGTTTCCTCCGCCTTCGTTACCACTGTTCTGATCTTCCTCATCGTCTTCATCTTCATCGTCTTCATCTTCATCGTCTTCATCTTCATCGTCATCATCTTCATCTTCTTCATCTTCTTCATCTTCGTCTTCATCATTATCGCCATTCTTGGTTTGTTCACCACTACTTCCCTTTTCACCTTCTCCTTCAACAACTTGTGAATCTCCAGTGATAGTTCTGTTCAGGCTTTCCTCAAGACTCTCAGTGTCATTGTTTCCTGCTTCATTTTCAGCCACATCTACTTCAGGCATGTTTTGCAAGTTACCTGCGACAGCTCCAGCGTTTTCCATGTTATCCGCCATTCCTCCAATGTTTCTATTTCCTTTTGACCTTTAAGCAATGAATTTACAATATTAGCCTACATGCAAAAGGCAAAAAAAAATAAGTTAACTATATAGAGTTTTTTTTGGCGCAGGCTCCGGACGAGGTGAACTATCACCCCTAAACCAATTTAAGAGGGAGATTGTTAACTTTTGATTAAAAGTAAAAGCGTTCAGCCAATCAGATTTGAGTATAGTATATGCAAAACTTAAGGCTTGAATTTGCCATTTAATTTTAGGTGGAGATTGTTCACTTGGTCTATAAGGGGGGGGGGATTGTTCACATGGGTCCAGGCTCCCATCCAAAGCTAGAAATTTTTTACCCAATAGCGTTTGCAATGAGTAACAGAGTTGGTCGCTGTCATAGCTGTCATAAAAAAGCTGTCATAAAATGGCATCTTAAAAATGATCATCAGCCCCTATATCTCTACTTCGGCTACTGATGAGACGAATATTGTTTTACATTGCCTACCCGCTTTGTCCTGCTCCTCCCCCTGCTCCTTGTGAGAGGTTATCACTCACAACGTCGTGCGCTGTTGTGAAGGAGTCTTCATTTTTAGCAGCCGATGCTCCTGTCTTTGGCATCATCTCACTGTTTTCCCCTGTCGAAGAGTTTTCTCCGCCTAGCTTTTCGTCTTTCTGGATGTCTCCAAACATGAGCAACTCCTGCGCGGGTGAGTTCCCATCTGGAAGCGGCACAATTGATGAGAACGTCCTTGGTGTCCAACAAGTAAAAAGGAAAACACCTGCTGCAAAAAGTGAAGTGAACAACTAACAGCCAGCCTTGAACACATTAGTCATAGTGAAAAAAAAATTTCATAACAAAAAATAGAAATAAAACTTCAAAAAAATTCAATTAATTAAAAAGTTGTCAACTTTATGCGATGGAGAGTGGTGAAAATTTTAAATGAAATTTTTGGACAAAAATGAAGTTCGCTTTTTGCACTTAGTCTGAAAACAAAAAATCTTGAAACTGTTTTTCGTGGCCCTGCTGAAACACCAAAATTTTTCGTTGCAATTTTTTCTTATGAAAAATGACTTAAAAGGGTATATCGCATCTCAACTTTATCTTGCGGTTGGTTGCGGATAACGATTTTTGCGGATAAAGTTGCGGATTCCGCTCACAATTTGCAGCTGCGGCTTTCACGACAGGTTGAATTTACTAAATAGACAAACATAGTTGCCTGTTTTTGAAGCAATTTTGACCAAAATATTGTTTTAGCTATTTGTTTGTGGAATCCAAAACAGAAAAGAAGATCAAAGAAAAGTAGCTATGCTGCGGATTCTGCAACAATTCAATTTTAAGCCTGTTCCGGAATCCACCTACAAACAAAAAAAATACACAGTTTGGCCTCGTGATGCTTTGATGGACATCACAAAAATTGAGAAGCTTATTTGCTCCACAAAAAGTACAAAAAAATTTATACAATTTTCATATAACGTTTTCAATTTTTTTTCCTTGTTTCTATTATTTTAAGATTTGCGATTGAGTTAAAAATACGAAAAAAATATATATGAACTCAAAACTTTGGTGAAAACAATAGAAAATTTTTCCAGTCAGTATAACAAGTTTTTGAGCAGAGAAAATTTTTTGCTATTTCAAATCAAAAACATCCAAAACGGCGACGAGCTCATCTATGCGTAAAAAATGATGAATAATCAAATGACACTTTTGAAGCTCGTGACCTAAGTTTATTTCTTGCTGGCTCACTGGTATGAATCCAGTTATAACAGTATTTAATACTACGCCTTTCCATTTTGTCTCATTAAAAGGACCAGGTATTTTCCCATTTTTAATGCTCCCAAAAAATTAGAAGACTGCTCGTATCAAGGCAAAGCCCTGAATTTTCCGACTGCCTTTTAAGGTTTATGGAGCAGTAATAACATTAAAAAAGGAATTGAAATAACAAAAAATGAAATTTTTTTTTTCTAAAATTTGAAATTTTTATGAAAATCATCACCCCACACGCCATATAAAGTACAAAAATATAGATTTTGCTCCTTGTAACAAATAAATTATGGCAAATAAGCTTCTTTCAACCAATTTGGAACAATTTCTGAGACGGATTAACTCTCCGCTTACGAGTTAATAGCGCGAAATATATCGCGCATTAATTGTCCCAAATTGGCCAAAATGGCAATCTTTAAACCCCCATAATTTTACGAAAAAAGATCACAGGTGAAATATCTTTTCAAATTTAAGCTCACGAAAACAATATCTTTTGAATGATATAAAAAAATTCCGTCAAAAATGGCTAGTTAAAAAGTCGAAATTTGTCTGAAGAAAAAAACCCACCCCGAGCACAAATATTCCGTTACTTTCGTATCGAAAGTCGGAACAATAAAATAACCGAGGCAGTCTTAAGTAGTCTTTGTCTTAAATTCAACAAGATTACTCGTATCAGGGCGAAGCCCTGAATGTTCCGACTGCCTTTTAAGGTTTATGGAGCAGCAGTAATAACATAAAAAAATAAAATGAAAATTTTTTTTTTCAAAATTTGAAAATTTTGGTGAAAATCATCACCCCACACGCCATATAAAGTACAAAAAGATAGATTTCGTTCCTTGCAACAAATCAATTAGGGCAAATAAGCTTCGTTCAACCAATTTGGAACGATTTATAAGACGGATTAAATCTCCGCTTACGCGTTAGTAGCGCGTATTATATCGCTTGTTAATTGTCCCAAATTGGTCAAAATTGCCAAAATGGCAATCTTTAAACCCTCATAACTTTACGAAAAATTATCACAGATGAAATATCTTTCCAAATTTAAGTTCAGGACAACAATGGCTTTCGAATGATAGAAAAAAATTCCGTCAAAAATGGCTAGTTAAAAAGTCGAAATTTGTCTGAAGAAAAAAAAAATCCACCCCGAGCACAAATATTCCGTCACTTTCGTATCGAAAGTCGGAACAATTATAGAGTTAACAGAACTATAAAGGCGGGATGGGATGTATTGCCGCTGCCACGTTATGGAACGAAACTTATCGCGCATTACTTGTCTTCAATTGGTTATTTTCAGTCCCCTATAACATCATTGAAGGCAATAACAACTAGAAATAATTACAATCTTTGAGCTCACATCAATACAATTCAGATGGTTTAAGAACTTCCGCTAAAATTGGCTAGTTAAAATATCAAAATTGACCTGAAAAAAAAACCAAGTTCAAATATTCGGTCACTTTCTTTGAAATTGAGTTAAAACAGGGCAAGATGCAATTGAAAAATGTTTTCTGAGTAGAGATGTGGCCCATAAATTTTAGAACTGAAGTACACATCAGCTCTGATGTAGAAAGAAGGCGTTTTATAAGAAACTTACACACATGATTATTTTTACAAACAGGCTTGGGCTCTCTCAAGATTGATTTCTCGTCTCCTTTATAAAAAAAAGTTGTTAGCAGAGGTTGTATATTTATTTTATTGTTTTTTTTCCTTTTTTAAAACTGTTTTTACAATTAAACTTAGTAGACAATTTTGATCGCTGCTAATATCAATTTTTTTTCATGCCAAATCAACGTGAACGAAAAATTTAATTGTGAGATGAAATTGAATGATCGGAAAGAAATTGAAACTTTGTTATTTTCCAGAAATTTTGAGAAATCAGATACAAAGTCAGATACAAAACGATACAAAATTACAACTTGCAAAGAGCTATGGTGTAAGTTTTCTCAAAAAAGTTCAAAAAGAAAGTTATTAAGTTCTGATTAATTGTTTTTCTACAAATTGTTCAACTTCAACCACTGCTGTTAGATTGTTTCCTCAGAAGATAGTGTCTTAAAATTATATAAATGTGTCAGAAAATGTGTCCCCTTAAATTAAAAGCGGCTTATTTAACTGGGCGAAAAACTTACCGACAAAGAAGTTGGTCAAGTACATTATTTTATTGGAAACTAAACCTCAATTTAAAAATAATCCAAATCTCTGGTGAAAACTAAGCTTGAATAGTGAAACAATTAATTACATAGAAGAATTTTAGAGCTCAATCAAGCGTTTATGAACATATTGCAATCCCAAACTCAACGAACCATCTGACTGTAGTTGTTCCAGAGGAAAAAGCAAATTTAAAGTTTTTTTGGCGTACTAAATAAGCAAAATGGCAGTGAGTAAGATGGACATCACGCATCACTAAGGAAGCATGGAGTGATATATATTAGCTATCTTTTCGTTTTGCCTGTTTTTACAGAAGTATTACAATTATACTCCTTGTTCTAACTCAGGATTTCGCTTTTGGTTTTTTTGTGTTTTAATCACTTCACGAAGTGGAAAAGAACTATAAGCTAGTGACTTTTTATCGACTCTGACTAAACAAAGGAAGCTCGTAGCGATCAAGTGTATGATCATGTATTCTCATATTAAAAACCTTTTTGGCCGTGAATCGGATTACAAAAAAAATCAATTAAGATATTTCAGTGTCAAGAAAAACTGGTCGGAAATTTTGTTGTTTTCAGACCTCAGAGTGAGAAGTTGATCTCCTTCATACATGTAGTTTAGTCGCATTCGATTAAAAAAACCAATAGAAAAAATGAAAGATTTGTTTTTAGTAACATTTTGTTCTTTTTTAAATCAGTGTGGTAGGAAGATCTGAGCTACTTGTACAGTAATTGGGCATTCTAACTTGATATGAAGGAGCATTTATAAAAACTTTGGTATGATGGTAGATTGAACTTAATGGTCTGTGATGAAGTATTTCAAAAAGATTATGATTTTGACAACTTCGACTTTTTTCATATGCCCGAATGCTTTCGCTAGAGTTTGCCAGAAAGCTCTATTATCTGAAAGATGTCACCGACTTGAATTGAAAATTTGAAAAAAAAAATCTATTTCAAATGTATCTTTTTCATATGTATCTTTTTGTGTTAATTTAGTTTGAAATACTGATAAATGGAGCTTGATTCAGCAGTTGTTCCAGAGGGGACCAAAACAAGTAACGATGTGCTTATACTTCAAATAGTTTCTTATTTTGTTCCTTAAAAATTCAACATACTTTAAGAGTAAGAACCACTGAAAACATCTTCAAATGCAGTCGGAACATTCTGTTGTCAGCTCAAAAGATGGTTGAGCCCGTGCCCCGGTTAAAAATATCAAACTGAACCCTTTTTGAAAAATGTTATCCTTCTCAACTATAGAAACTCTGTTTAGAATGGATCTGACCGCGGTGTAAAGAGTTCAACCAGATGCGAAATATCGACACCACATACCTCCCAGCCTATGCTGCATGCACTCAAATCCCCGCAAACATCATGGTCAGTTTTCCGCGCGATAGTGCGTGTAGATTATACGAATCACTTCTGCAACACCATTGTGCACAAGCAGAAGAGTCACTTTCAGACTAACCTCCCATAAGGCCAAAACCAAAAACTCAACAGCCGTTGTTCACTGTCAGCTCAGCCAATTTTTTTGGCAGCAAACTGTGAACCCCAACGTCGTTCCGACTAAGCCCTCAACAATGGGACTCCGTCCTATCAATCATTTTATCACGCAAACAATGATGATTCATCCGTTCTCCAGGGGAGGAGCAACATTTTTTATCGGACATCCCAACACATTAACCAAAGCTAACGACCAAAAGCCGTTGGTTGCATCTCAATTGTTCGAGTACAAAAAACCGACCAACAGTTGCGACAAAAAACGAGCCAATTATCAGAAAGATTTGGCTAAAATCTTATCATTGTGCCATGAAGGTCCCCCTGCTAAAATGGAAGTTATCCTGATTTGAATGTTACCCTTTCAGTGGCCTGATTGACATGACCAATACAAAAGACCGTTTGACTTGCATTCCATGATATCAAACTGATATATCTCAAAACCGTTGTATCAGAATGAATTCTCGGATTTTGCCAACAGTGGTAATTTGTACTCTAAGAATCCTTGCGAGAAATCTTTGTCAGCCAGAGACAATTGTGAGCGCTCATGTGGAAAAGCTATAGAATTTCCCTTCCTTGAAAACGCACAACCCGCGAAGCATCATCGTAGCGTCGTGCATATTTAGTCTTATCGCCGTTTTGAATTAGCTACTATTTGAACACGACTTGAAGATTACGATTGTCTTGAGTCAGGTTATTTCGAAACTGCCCCTCAACATGAAATGATTGGTCTCTCTACTAAAAAAAAGATCTTGGAAAAAATCAACCGTGTTGGATTTCATTGGCTGGCACCGCAACAAAGCAGACCCATATACACTTATGCGTGTCTGCCCAAAAATAGTAAACACTAAAAGAAGCTTGGAGAAAGGGTGTCCACAACACACCCTCCAAATTTTTTGCTGCAGTTGCTACAAAAGTCGAGAAGCCAAGAAATGCTTTGTGCCTCAAGTGCAAAAATATCATCTGCTGATTAATTGTGCAGTTTTTAAACAAAAGACTGCAAATCAACGAGCTCAATTCGCCGAAAAAAAAACAAGCAGTGTTTGGCTTGCTTGCAACCGGACGAAACGTTTATAAAGGGCTTGCAAGTACAGTAAGCCTGGTTGCGAAAGAACACATAACATCTTGCTGCATGGTGCTCAAAAACTTTTACATGCAAACTCGCTAAAAAAAGGGTAATAGTAACAGCAAACCAGCCAACCATCAAAGTCCCGCCTAATCGCCAAAATCAACTTCGTCCACCAATGTCGCCGAGTAGTCATCATTCAAAAAAATTCAATTGGAAGTTACTTCACGCACAGACTTGACTACTGCTCTTGCGATGAGCATTGTTGTTTTACTCACTCATTGGTCTCGGCAAGCCATGCTCAAAATCTAAATACACTTGTTAGTAAGTTAGATGTTCTGATTAAAGTCTTGAGTTCAACGGAAGATTTCCGAACCCTACAAGTCGAAGTGAACGTATATATACTGTTTACAATTGAAAGTTTGAGCGCTTATTTCGACAACATAGACGTTCCCATTTTGCAGTTCGCGCATTTGAGGACAGTTAAACTTAATGTTTGCAACAATGTCGACGTTGAGTTGAGAGGACTCTGGGGCAGTAAGTTTTTAAGCTATCAAGCCTCTCTACTATTTTCAAGTAGGAAATCAAATGTTTCATGTGACTGTCCGTATGCCCAATGGCTGCGTCCTCCGTGGCCGTTTTTTCGCCAAAGATGCTAGACCCACCATCAAAAAATTCAATATTGATATTGCTGTAAATGCAGAGCAAATGATGCCATTTCCACAGCTGATAATTGCACTCAGAAAACTCCTGTTTCAATCACGTTCCAATATGGCAGCCGTCATACTGTCGGAATTATTGGGACTAAAGACTATATCCAGTTTAAGTCTCTTCAAGAAATGTTAGAGAAAGATTTGAACCTCAATGAGCAGTACGTTTCGCACATTTTTGGCAATTTACACAAAGGTTACATCATCTTGTGACCCCTCACGCTTCACATAACCGCTCCGACCAAAATGACACCTTCCCAAAATTAAGCTTAAACAGTTCCGGCAAAGTTCAGCGCATTTTGCATGTTACATTCAATTTTCGTTGCAAGTCTCAAAATAGCTATGTCCTGTGTTCCCCGATATGATGCGTTTTTTCATGCGTTGTTACTTTACTTTATATAAATTGTTTCATGCGTTTTGTGTAACTTTCAGGAGCACAACTACGCAGTATCTGCCGACATCGAAGGAATGTAAAATAAGGTCGAATTATAAGATTGCAATACGCTTTTTCGCAGTTTTTGCGGAGCGAGTGCCCCATATTAGATGTGAGCGTGTTTCGAAAAACCAATAATATACTTGGAGCAGAAGATTCTCAGAATTACTTCAAGGAAGCTATTCACCGAATAGTCGTCGATAAACAGGGCTGTAATCCCAAATCCGCTTATGCTAAGTTTAATAGTTCTTACATGGATGACTACCCTGGCTACAACAAAATTGGGATTTAGCTGGTTTGATTTAGGTGGATTCAACTGATTTAAAATCGTTAGTAGTGTTCTGGATTTGACAATCAAAGTGAATTCAGTGCCAGTTACAGCAAAATACTTTTTGCCGCGTCGATTTTTCCGAAAATCGCTTTGCACGTTCTCGATCCAATTGAGACGGCATCATTCATACGTTTGTTGTGAGCATAGAAAATAAACGAGAACTGGACGAAACTGTTGAACAGCAACCTAACTTTTACATGTTCCACCCTGTCGTCCATGTTCCACCATGTCACTCCATTTACCGTGCGGGTGTTTTTCTTACTTGAAAATATTTGGCGATTGGGTGATCAGCAGTATGACCACTGCTGATTACTAACCATTAAACAAAGATAAAGCACGTGGTCGCATATGTATTAAGACTCTTGTCAGGACCTCGTTGTTTCAGAAACCCGAATAAGGCCATCCTTGATCTTTTGGAACTGGTTAACACATAAGAAAAACTAAAATAAACGCAATTGACTGCGGGAAAACACGTGAAAAATTCCAGACATATGTCGTAATTCAACGGACCGAACGGTTTGATTAGATCTACCGGCCGTACACAGCGGTTTTTGGCGACCGCCGTTCACACTTTTCGTCCAATAGTTTTGGATAGCAGAGACTGGCTTATTCGACATTTTTCGTTTTCTTCTTAATAAGTACGATCGTCAATGAGTCGACTACCTTTGTTCCGCCATCCATCTACAATTTGCTGTATCACGATTGAGACCTGCACTAAGAGCTATGCTGTAGAAAGTGAAAAACAAAAATCCTCATGAAATTGTTGTCTGACTTTCCCGTTTGGCGTTGAGGTTACCACCAGACAAACTCCAATTGCGAAGCCGATTTTTGTTGTTTTTTCTATCTTTCGTCGATGTTCATAAAACGTTGGGGTTTCCAATTTTCCAACAACCCGAGCAATTTGCATTGATTCACCTGGATTCATAAATGGCTGAAAACGATGGCTATTGATTGCTTTTTCTCTAGCCAAGATACACTCTCGGTAAATTTATCGGACAAGAGTACCAACTTTTTCGGAGCTCAAAAAGTCTTTCTTTAAAAGAAAAAGTGGAATGCAGAAGCTCCATTGAGTTTTCCGTCCGTACGTTTCATCCAAAACGTTTCTCAC